CTAATCTTCACGTTTTGATCCTCCACCATCTCTCTCACCTTCGGACTTCATCGATTTCCATAAGTTCCTTAATTCATTGTTTTCGTCTTTGATTTTTCTATTTTCGACCATCATCATTTCAAGAGTTGCTCTCAATCCTTCAACTACACAATCAGTATCTTCTTCGTTGTCAATCCACTTAAAGAATTTACATCGATTCTAAAGACATTTAAACAACATACAAATGTAATGTTTAAAGTAGAAACAAAGGAAACAACCAATTACTCCAATTACATGTAAAAATCAAAATAGTCCAATTAGAACAGACAAATTAGATACACACACCAATAGCTCTAATTAGAAACAAACATCAATTACAACTTTCAAAGTAGAAACAAAGCAAACAACCACCAATTAGTTTCATTATATGTAAAAATTAAAATAGTCTAATTAGAACATTCAAATTATATAGACACCAATAAGTCAAATTAAAAACAAACATCAATTACAACGTTCAAAGTAGAAATAAATCAAACAACCACCAATTAATTCAATTACATGTAAACATTAAATTAAATACAAACTAAATATATTGAATTTCCAGTTGCTTTCATTATCGAACACAACAAAAAAACATGCTTTCAGTCTATTTAATAGTCAATTTTCTCATCACAATAATAAATTTTCCTGATATTGTTATATACTCTTACGCACTCATTTAGTCATTCTAAAAAACAATTATCTCTTTTGATTGCGAACATCCATAAAATTTCCTTCCTTTGCTACGAGGCACATTTGAAAAGCAAATCGGAGCCCTAATCTTGCAATAACAATACTTGATCCTTAAACTATAACACAATTTTGAAGATTCACTCGACATCTTTCATGATTTTGAGTTCGCGCAATTCCAAAATCATGGTTTCAAGATAAACAGATGAGGATAAGAGTGAAAGGAAAGGAGAAGTGTTTCAGGAAAACAAGTGAGGATGAGTGAAAGGGGAGGAGAAGAGTTCCAAGAAGAATAGGAATGGGGGAGGAAGAGAGTTTTAGCAAAATGGGTGAGGAAGAGAATGGGGAAGGAGGATCTAGGTAAATTTTAGTTTTTTTACTTTTTAGGTTAGAATATTAGTATTAAAATATTAATATTAATGTTTTATTTATTTTACTTTTTATATATTCAAATTTTATAGAAAAATAAAAGAAATTATAATCAGAGACACGTGTCAAAAAATGAATGGATAACAGATTTTTTAACAGCCGTTACGTCTCGGGCACCTATAGAACTAACGTTTATAACGTTAAGCACCTGATATGCTAAAATATAACATAGGCACCTATTCGGCGTAAAAAATATAATTTTGGCAGTTACGTGGGAATGAATCTTTTTTAAGCAGAAAATGAGGGATTCTGTTTGATGTGGGTTATCTTCACGTACAAATGGACCAGGGATACTTCGTGCTCCACATGATTTGAATAGTGAATGGGTTAATCGCCTCTGTAATACTTCATGTTTTGAAATGATGTCATTTTGGTCTCTTAGCTAATTTAAATGCTTTTTTACTGCTTTTAATTTCGCATGACAGTTTCGTATTTATTACAATTTCATCCACTTATACTTTTATTTAGTTGCTTATCTCTATTTATTTTTAATTATATTATTTAATTTCATTATATGTTCATTTCAATCCTGCTTAATAGTTCTACATATTTGTTTCTCTTTTTTTCGAATTGTGCTTGTAGATGCGGTTCTCTTTCAATCAAGCCCATAATAGATTCTTTTATATTTTCATATATGATTAGTAGGTGTATTTTGTATCATTTTAGTCACCCTTTTTACATCATTTGTTTTGTATATGTTTGTTTGTTATATTATTTTTTATAGATACATACTTATATATACAAGGATGGACTTAGAGGGGGCGGGTGGGGGCGGTCACCCCTTAAAATTTTCAAATTCTTATATATTTTAGTTGTTTTCTTTGTATTTTCGAATTAAAATTTGATTTCACCCCTTAAAATTTTATAAATTCTCTATTCCTTAAAATTTTATAATTTCGCCCTCCTAAAATGAAATTCTCCGTCCCTGTGTGTGTATATATATATATATATATAATTTTTTTCTAATGCTAATTACGAAATTATTTAAATTTTATGCATTGGTTGATGGTTCAGAAATGTTTGAATAAATGATTATTGGGCCGTTTGTGCAACTTTATTTGGTTCAACCTGAAACCATTTCTTTGAAGGTAGACTTTAGCTAAATGAAATTTAGATTAACTTGGCCTTACTCGCAACTCTGAACTTATCTTCTTGGGTTGTGCTTTGGGTTCCTTCCGCTTAAAATAGATTCATTTTTATAACAATACTAAATTATGGCCTTAATTAAGTCCATAATCTTTTACATCAAATCAAATTAAGTCTTATATATCAAAATTTCAACAATCCATTTGTTTGACTAATATTGATAATTAAATTTAATAACCTTTTAGATAAGTTGATATCACATGTTGTGTTGTCAATTTGTATTTTTAGAAATATACTTTTTTGATAAATTTTTGAATTTTTAAAAATATATTAAAATTTAATTAGATTTTTTTTATATTTATGTTTATAAAACTATAAATTTTATGTAACAATAACACAATATCTCACGTGGCAGCAATATCTAAAAATGTTAAAATTGAATGGTCAAAATTGGTATAAAAAACTTAATTGATTCAAATTTTCAATTAAAGATCTTAATTTATTTAATTTTTTAATTTAAGGATTCAATTGGATACAAAATAAATTAAGGGATTAATTGATATTTTTCAAAAGTTTGAGTGCTTCATGTACCTTTAAACCTAAATTAATTAATTTTAAGTGATAGTTGAAGTACTAACTCATTCTAAGATAAGATAATTTTAATAGGGATAAATCTTAAATTTACACGTGAATTTTGACCAAACGTATAACCTCATAAACCTAGCTAATACCTTAGGACTAAAATTTAAATATTACATTAGTCATTGAATTAATCTAAAATACTTTCTTTAAATTAAAACTTTTTTTAAAACTTATTTATAAATTATTATCAATTTTAAGTAAACTCAATCTTTAAACCGTTTTCTAATAATATAAGGGTAAAATATATGGGTGTTCTCTTGACTATAATGTAATGCTTTATTGATTCTTTTGACTATTAAAAATTATAAAATGATCCATTGATTATAAAATGTCGCTTTGTTGAGTCCCTTAACTATTATAAGTTATAAAATTGTTACTTGACTATTCATATGTTTCAAATTCGTCTTTTTCTATTAAAATTGATGATTGTTTGAGCTAGACGTTAACCTATTGACTGAGATATGATAAAATTATATTTTAATGATGTTTCCTGGTACCATCGTTGCTTTCAAGCATGAGCTCTATGATATAATGTTTCTAGCATTTGCTCAATGACATAATGTAAATGAAGACTCAATCCATAAAATACATGTCAACTGGTTATAGGATCAGATTTTATTATATCCTAGTTAGTAGGATGACGCCCAACTCAGACGACAACTAACTTTTTTTATCAGAAAATGATGAGTTTGAAACATATGAATAGTTACATAATCATTTTGTAACTTTTAATAGTAAGGGTACTTAATAAAATAACTATAATCGGAAGATCATTTTTCACATTTAATAGTCAGAGATTCAACAATACAACACCTTAAAGTCAAGGGACCATTTGTACTTTATATAACTAGTAATTTGTGTAAAGGGAACAAAATGAAGACATCTTTAGATTATGTGAATGGCCCTTGATCCAATCATAACACACATACTATAAAAGCAATCAATAAAAAGGGAACAACATGAAGACATCTTTAGATTTTGTGATTGGGCCTTGATCCAATCATAACATACATATACCATAAAGCAATCAATAACAATAATGTCCCGTTCCGATAAGCAAAAATTTAGGCAAAAATGTCCAAACGTTCAGGTGGGTGAAAAAAATCACATTACGCATCTCTAAAATTATTTGGGAACTAGTAAATGTTACACTGTAGACAAACTCGTCACGTTTTTTGTTACAAGTTCCAATAAAATAATAAAAACATTATATTTTATTAAAACTCGTTTCCTCGACGTGATAAGTTTTAAGTCATTATAATGAATGTCGTAGTTCTAAAATAAAAAATCTGGTGTCGTATCGGGCTAAATAATTATCCTGCATATGATATTGGGCCAAAATTGCCCAAAAGTTTATTCATTAGTAAAAACTCAAATATAAGTATTATCTCTAAGTTTTAAAGAGAAAAAAGTTAATCATACATAAAAAACATAAATTTATGAGATTCATTGGTTGATCGAATAATCAAGGATGTTCATGTTATTCTACTTTCAGGTGGGTTCAAATCTCAACATTTATTTTAGAAATGTAATATATCCTATCTAATAAAAAAATATAAGTTTATTTGTTCAAAGTAATGGAGTAATTAAGATGATATAAAAATGAACAAAAATGAGTTTAACCCATGCCACATTTTAATGCAAATAATAAGAAATTGGAGAATATTATATTCAGTAAAATCTATCCAAGATTCAAATCCTCCTAACTGTTACTAAAATTTGGTTAAATATATTTTTCAGGAAAATGTTTATTTTAAAAGAAAGTGGCTCCTCAAAAGATTATTAAAATTAATGAGCTATTAGGAAAAATATTATTAAAATTTTTCGAGATCATGTTAACCAGAAGTTACTAAAATGTTTTTTTTTTTAATATAGATGTAGCCTTTTATTACTTAATATGGCAATTATTTTTATAATTAATGTAGTACATATCAATACCATGCACCAACGTGAAAAGACCGCTCTTTTATTATTTACAACTGCAGAGAGAGAGAGACAGTAGAACGCAAGAAACCAATTCATCAAGAGTAACATAATGATGCTTGAAACACATATCAAATAATAACCGCAGAACCATTGTGGTTCAGACCAGGAGTTCTTGATGCATTTCTCGATGTGCTTGAAGTTGAAGGAGCTCAATAGGGTGGCGGTGGTGGGGGATAGATTCCGGTTGGAGCTGCAGCGATAACCAGAAGTTCAGATCATGTGTTCGTTAGTAAAATAACTGCCGCAGGCGCAAAATAAAAGCGTTAGCATTGACTATCACAAACTATAATAATAATGATAGAAGAAAAATGATATAGTTACTGTGTCGTGGTAAAATCGTACCTGGTGGATAAATAGTTGAGGCCTGAAGGTGAAGCGGGTATGTTTGTTGTGGATAACCAGCCAGAGGGGCTTGTGGAGGGTAACCTGCGGCAGGGAACTGTGGAGGATAACCGCCGATTGGAGTAGGCCGATACGGCACTGTGGCAGTAGGATATGATGACTTGTATTCAGTTGGAGATGCATACGGCATTGTCGGATAAGGAGTCGGTGGCGCTGCGGGTGGGTAACCATATGGTGAGACCTGGCTGATGGGGACAGATGTGCATATTCTGAAATAGATTTTGTCTTGCACTTTTGTGGTTGTGCATTTGCCTAAAATTGGAAACCATGGTATGTTGTCAATGGTCAGAAATGTATGTATTCACTATACATATATACACATGTATTGATTAACTTACTGTGGCTTTGGTATTAGAGTAGTGTAATATGAGTCTTACTTCTCCCGAGTGCCTGTGTCCAAATAAATCCATCAGGGAGGCAGTAAAATGTATTAAAAGATTATACAAGCTTCTATTTAACTAACCTGCCATATTTGCTTTGAAATGACCAGTACAATCGTCGTAGCCTTGGGAGAGGACTTTGTGGAGTTGAACCCTGCAACATTAGCTCTGATATACAGTGAGTTGAAGTTGTTTTCTTTTCAGTTTGACCATCATTTTTTAAATTTTTAATCAAGTCACCAACTATTTAAATGCATTCAATCAAGCCACCTACCGTTAACATTTGACGAAAATACTGACGTGAAAGTTAATAAAAATTGTATAATTACACATTTAATCTTCAATAAATTTAATTTAGTCATGATTTTAATTTAATTCAATAAATTTAATCATCTAATCATACAATGATACGTGTCATCTTTTGATTTAATATTATTTTTATAATTTAATATATTCATTTTAATTATTTTTTTCAATCAAATAGGGACACATGTCATTATCCAGTTGAAAGAAAACTAATTACAAAGGAAAAAAGAAAAATTCATTTGCTAGGGGGCTTAAAACCCTATCCCTGATGATGGTGCACACACACTAACCACTAAGCCTAAAGAAATGTGAAATGCACAATAATATATATTTTATACTTTCATTAATACCAATAAAAAAGAAAGGAATATGACATATTTGTCGGTATATGATCCGGCATGTTAATTTTGGGTACCTGGTAGTCAGCTACCCGCAAAATGCGGGTATCTGTATTTTTGGATCATGGGTACTCGGTTCATATATTTTTATTTTTTCATTTAACTTTTTTAAAAGAAAAGCACATAAGAAATACGAAAATTTTAAAATTTCATAATATACAATCCATACAAAAAATTAAGGATTTGAGATTAGTTTTAATGATATATATATTAAAGTTTATATTCAAAAGAAAACACTAAAAATATTAAAATCGATCGTGATTTTTTCTTTCGAATCTCATATTTATAAATTATTAAAAACTTTTTTGAAAAATTCAAAACTTAAAAGTACATAATACAAACCTAAGAAAAATTTAGGGATTTAAATTTAATTTTAAGATAAAATATTAAGGAACATAAAATAAAAATATAATTTAAACTCGATATATATATTACAACTACATGATCAGGTCGGGAACTCGATTATAAAAAAATTCGTCTTAGACAACCTAACTACCTGGAAAAAAATTACCCCATTTTTTAGATTCGATCGACAGGTCGGGTTAACGGGCTCGAGTATTTTTGAACACCCCTAATGGCTATGATTGGATTCAAACCTATGCCAAATATAAAATTTGACAGTGTAAAATCACTTAAACAAGTATTATATTTGGTTAATAATTGGATAGATTATACATAGTTTATAAAAGATTAAAAGAAAAGCTAAATTTAATTTTTGAATATTTTAAACTGAATTTAATATTTTTCACATTTATAATTTAATGATTATAGATATAATATAAGAATAATAGTTTTTAATTAATTAAAATTAATTAAAATATAAATAATTTGTAATTTTTTTAAAAAATAATTCATATACTTAATTTTTAATAAAAATTACAATTATTAATTAAATTAAAAATATCAAATTTATGAAAAAAAGTTATTACCATGTGCCTCGTTATTAAACCTATCGGAGGAAAAGAGTACACACAATGATAATATTACAACAAGAGCAAACAGAAGAACAAAAACAAAAACAGTCCACCTAAAACCCCTTCGCAGGAGCACCCTAACGGCAAACAACTCTCACACCATGTCCTCATTCAGGATTTGAATCACTTCCTCGGGGGTGGGGCATCAATAAATTACATAGAAATAACATCCAATCCAACACTTCTCGCAAGACCATCGACAACTCGGTTTCCTTGTCTCAAAACATGTTGGAATCTAACTTCCCAATCCCAGTCGAGCATCCTATAGATATGTTCAACAATAGACAACAATTGTTCTTTTTTTATGGCCATGCAGAAACTTTACAATCGACAATTTATAATTCTCTACAATCACCTTTCGCGAACCTATGCGCCAAGCACAATGGAGATCGATGTGCACAACCCAAAGCTCTGCTTCCAAAACCAAGCACACCTCCAGAAACTTTTTAAAACCTAGAATCCAACCTTCATTATGATTTCAAACCACACCACCGCAAGATGAGAAACCCTTTATATCTTTACGAGCACCATCGGTATTGACTTTAATCCAATGAACCGACAACGCCATCAATGAATCAACTCCAACATATGAAGGATGTATCCCCCCGTATTACCACTATCCCGCTAAATAGCTTGGATCCCCAACTTCTGCAGCCTCCTGCTATGCTCGAGAATACCAATATTACCCTATAGGAGGTTATGAAACACTGGCATTTTGATGTCGCCAGGTGTTCCAAAGTATAGCACCAACCAATATTTCCCAATCTTTGTCCTCTTTGGTAAAATAACTAATATTCACAAGATTGACATGAATCAAAATTTTGATCTCCATTGACATGAACTCCTTTAGATTCTCCCCGTTAATCAACAATACCCAAATGGAGTAAATAACACTACATTTCCGAAAACATGATCAATGTCCTCCAAGACATCCACACAACACAAACAATTACCATTAGACGTGAAGCGTCTTTTTAATTGCTTGCATTGGTCATTTGTAATGCCTTAAATTAAAGGTTTATTTGAATGGGTTTTAGAATAATTTTCCCTTAGAATATGAAGTTTGGACCCCAAGTAGATTTGATTTGGGCTTGGGATGAGCCCAACATGTTTGGAAAGGGATGATTTCAATCATGCATCAAATGAAGGAGGACTTGGAATCTAACTTCCCAATCCCAGTCGAGAATCCTATAGATATGTTCAACAATAGACAACAAATTGTTCTTTTTTTATGGCCACGCAGAAGCTTTACAACCGACAAGTTATAATTCTCTACAATCACCTTTCGCGCACGTATGCGCCAAGCACAATGGAGATCGATGTGCACAACCCAAAGCTCTGCTTCCAAAACAAGCACACCTCCAGAAACTTTTTAAAACCTAGAATCCAACATTCATTATGATTTCAAACCACACCACCGCAAGATGAGAACCATTTCTATCTTTACGAGCACCATCGGTATTGACTTTAATCCAATGAACCGACAACACCATTAATCAATCAACTCCCACATATGAAGGATGTAACCCCCTGTATTACCACGATCCCGCTCAATAGCTTGGATCGTCAACTTCTGCAGCCTCTGCTATGCTCGAGAATACCAATATTACCCTATAGGAGGTTATGAAACACTGGCATTTTGATGTCGCCAGGTGTCCAAAGTATAGCACCAACCAATATTTCCCAATCTTTGTCCTCTTTGGTAAAATAACTAATATTCACAAGATTGACATGAATCAAAATTTTGATCTCCATTGACATGAACTCCTTTAGATTCTCCTCCTTAATCAACAACACCCAAATGGAGTAAATAACACTACATTTCTGAAAACATGATCAATGTCCTCCAAGACATCCACACAACACGGACAATTACCATTAGACGTGAAGCATCTTTTTAATTGCTTGCATTGGTCATTTGTAATGCCTTAAATTAAAGGTTTGGAGTTTCAGGTTTATTTGAATGGGTTTTAGAATAATTTTCCCTTAGAATATGAAGTTTGGACCCCAAGTAGATTTGATTTGGGCTTGGGATGAGCCCAACATGTTTGGAAAGGGATGATTTCAATCATGCATCAAATGAAGGAGACTAGGGAAATAATTTATACATTTATTTGAATCAAAGCAATTCTCATCAATTGGGAATGATCTCACGTCTGAAATATATTCTCTTTGTCTCCAAAAGCTTCTCTTCTTCCTCTTTTCTCTTCAAGAACCAAGTTAAAGTATGAAACTTTAAGAGTTCCAAGCATCCATTTGAGTCTTCAAGTTAAGAACTACAACCTTCTTCCCCTAAGTTTTTATTCAAACCTACTTTTGTAAGTTTTGTCCAAGTTTAATAAAAATAGGGTTTTAGAGGGTTTATGAAATCTTAAGTTTATTTTTTTAGAAGAGTTTCGAGTTGTAGGAACGTTTTAGTACCCTATAAGTTTTAAAATGAGTTACTAACTCAGTTTTTCATGGTTTTGATTAGTGCAAGAGAAGGGTGAAAGCTCTCAAGCAAGGGGGAAGGAGAAGCTCACACTAGGATGATTCAAGAACATTTTTCAGTAGCTTGGACTCAAGGTAACACAATTTTGAGTTGTTTATACCACATATAGATCATTTTATATGAATTTGGTATGTTAAGCTCATGAAAGCATGTTAGAGTAAATTTTGGCATAATTCATATTTGTGTATTGCAAGGATGAAAGTTGATACCTTTTGACCTCTAAGACATCAAATAAGACTCAAAATGTTTAAGGAACTTAGGGGAGTCAATGGGTGAGTTTTGGGCATGATTTTGTGCTCAAAATAGAGCACCAAGGTCCGTCAGTATCGATATTGGAAAAACATTACTGATACTATTCTTCATAAAAGGAAAAAATAAGCAAAATACAAGGGCAATATCGATACCCCTTCAGGAGTATAAATACTCGGGGTCCGATATCGATACTTTAAGGGTTGTATTGATACTGAGGCATTTTTGAAGACATAAAAGCTTATTTTGGTATCGATACTTGATCGCTTGTAAATGTATATGATAAGGAACAATTTGTGCAAGTATACACAATCGAATCAAGTAATACAGGGTAAGTGAGTTATCGTCTCCTCAGGGATTGGTCGATTCTTTTTAAGTTTCACCACAACCAGAACTAGATGTCACAAGCTAATTCTTGGAATCTTGTCAAACTATAAAACTATTAGTAATAAAGAAAAATAATAAAATATTGTAAAGTACGATTGCAGAAAAGTTTGGTCGAGGCAAAATAAATATACAAAACTATCAAATTGAAATAAATAAAACAAAGACAAACGTTGATTCAAATATATTTAAAACAACCTCACATAATCAGACTTTTCACAGAGAACTCATGCTAATCTTTTGTATTGACAAACAATTAGTTTAAGTCTAGAATGAATTATTATGATA